AACATTAGCTGGGCATGGTGGTGCATGCCTGTAATCCCAGCTACTCAGGAGGCTGAGGCAGGAGAATTGCCTGAACCCAGGAGGCGGAGGTTGCGGTGAGCTGAGATTGCGCCATTGCACTCCAGCCTGGGTAACATGAGTGAAACTCCGTCTCAAAAAAAATAAAATTAAATTAAATTAAATAAAATTAATTGTACTTATTTTACAGGTCATTTGTCTTTTCATTCTTACTGCCTTATATTTTTGTCTTTGGTATTCTGATATGTATGCTATATGATATACATGAATGTGGAATATGTTTTTTAAATTTCTGCTTGGGGCTTGGCATGGTGGCTCACACCTGTAATCCTAGCACTTTGGGAGGCCAAGGTGGGCATGTCACTTGAGGCCAGGAGTTCAAGCCCAGCCTGGCCACCATGGCAAAACCTCATTTCTACTAAAAATACAATAGTTAGCTGGGCATGGTGGCACACACTTGTAGCCCCAGCTATGTCAGGAGGCTGAGGCTGGAGAATCACTTGAACCTGGGAACTCTGTCCCAGAAAAAAATTCTGCTTGGGGTTCTCTGTGATTTTTAAATCTGAATAGTCATATTTCTCATGGATCCTGAATAATTCTTTTTGTTGTTATTGAGGCAGGGTCTCATCCTGTTGCCCAGGCTGGTGTCCAATGGCATGATCATGGCTCATTGCAGCCTTGACCTCCCTGGGCTCAGATAATTCTCCCACCTCAGCCTCCCAAGTAGCTGAGACTACAGGCATGCACCACCATGCCCAGCTAATTTTTATTTTTTTTTGTAGAGATGGGGTTTTCCCATGTTTCCCAGGCTGGATGGATAATTCTTTTCTACTGTCTCTTTAACTACTGCCCACCACCAATTTTCTCTATTTATCCATGCTAACATTCCACTGAGATATAAACCTTTTTATTCAATCCTTTGTGTTTCTTAACTTCTCTTTCTTTTTCTTTTTTTTTTTCTCTCTCTCTCTCTCTCTTTTTTTTTTAAGTTCACTATACTAAATCAGCATTCCTGGATCTTAACTTCTCTTTCTAATTTTCCATCTCTTCCTCTCCTTGTTCTGCATTGTGAGAAATTTCTTCCAATCTTCTTTTTTTATTTTGAGATGGAATTACACTATTATTGCCCAAGCTGGCGTGCAGTGGTAGGATCTCGGATCACTTCAACCTTCGCCTCCTGGGTTCAAGTGATTCTCCTGCCTCAGCCTCCTGCATAGCTGGGATTACAGGCATCTATTACCATGCCCAGCTAATTTTTTTTCTTTGAGACAGAGTCTCCTCTGTCACCAGGCACCAGGCTGGAGTGCAGTCGCGCAATCTTGACTCACTGCAACCTCCGCCACCTGGGTTCAAGCAATTCTCCTGCCTGAGTCTCTCGAGTGGCTGGAACTACAGGCACACACCACTACACCCAGCTATTTTTTTGGCATTTTTAGTAGGGATGGGGTTTCACTGTGTTGTCCAGGATAGTCTCGATCTCTTGACCTCATGATCCGCCCACCTTGGCCTCCCAAAGTGCTGGGATTACAGGCATAAACCACCAAACCCAGCCTAATTTTTGTATTTTTACTAGAGACAGGGTTTTACCATGTTAGCCAGGCCAAACTGCTAACCTCAAACTGCTAACCTCAGGTGATCCACCCGCCTCAGCCTCTGAAAGTGCTGGGATTACAGGCGTGAGCCACCAAGCCCAGCCACAGATCTACTTTCTAGATCAATGCTTTTCAATTGTTCTGTTTTGCTCTTTAACTCATCCCTTAAGGATTTCTTTTTTTTTTTTGAGACAGCGTTTCGCACTTGTTACCCAGGCTGGAGTGCAATGGCGCGATCTCGGCTCACCGCAACCTCCGCCTCCCGGGTTCAGGCAATTCTCCTGCCTCAGCCTCCTGAGTAGCTGGGATTCCAGGCACGCGCCACCATGCCCAGCTAATTTTTGTATTTTTAGTAGAGACGGGGTTTCACCATGTTGACCAGGATGGTCTCGAGCTCTTGACCTCATGATCCACCCACCTCGGCCTCCCAAAGTGCTGAGATTACAGGCTTGAGCCACCGCGCCCAGCCAGGATTTCTTTTTCAATGATTTTATTTTTCACTTCCAGAAATTCTACCTGAATCT